CCCCTGAAGCGCACATCACCAAATAACGCCGCAGCATATGGGCGCCTAGCAAACCTCAGAAAAAGCATTCCGACATCTTTAAAAAGGAATCGTTTAGGACCCTGTACACCGTAACGTTAGGCCCATATTGGAGTATGCGGCACCAGTTTTGGGAAACCCCCACCCCAGCCAAGCAGTAAAGAAACTAGAGAAAGGCAAAGGTTTGAAAACAAGACTAGCCCCAGAGTTAAGAGGTTATCCTGGGGAAAGGGGTTTAAAGGGGGAAATCAACCTGACAAACGGGGGACGGGAGAATAGGGCGACATAAGCGACTTACAAAATACTGAGGGGGAATGAAAGGTGGACAAAACAATTTCCCAAAGACGGACACAGCAACACGGGGACCAGTTGGAAGCTGAAACACAGAGAATAAAGGGATGTTAAAGTATTTCTTCGCCACGATAGTCAGGAGGGGAATAGTTTGGGAACGATTTGGGGAGCGGGATCCATACATACTTTAAGCAGAGGTATATAAAGCCGGTTCAGGGAAGTGACTAGTAGCAAACCAGTAAAGAGGGGGGCCAGGAGCGGGGACTCGACCCCTGCAACCTAAACTGGGGAGTACAAACACACAAACACAAAACACACACACACAAACACACACACACACAAACACCACACAAACACACACAAAAACACACACAAACACACACACAACACACACACACACCCCACACCACACAACACACACACACACAAGGTGGACAAAGACATGATGTTCCAGGGAGGGGACACATAAACAAGAGGCCACAATTGGAAGTTGAAGACACAAATGAGTCAGAGAGATAGTAGGAAGTATTTCTTCAGTCATAGAGTTGTGAGGCAGTGGAATAGCCTAGAAAATGACGTAGTGGAGGCAGGAACCATACACAGTTTTAAGACGAGGTTTGATAAAGCTCATGGCGGGGGGAGAGAGAGGGCCTAGTAGCAACCGGTGGGGCCAGGAGCTAGGACTCGACCCCTGCAACCACAAATAGGTGAGTACACACGCACGCACACAGACCACTTTATTAGGTACACCCTTCTAGTACCGGGTTGGGCCACTCCTTTACCCCCAGAACAGTTTGAATTCTTCGTGGCATTCATTCAACAAGATGGAGGAGACTTTCCTCAGAGATCCTGGTTCATGTTGATAACATAGCATCACGCAATTCCCGCAGATTTGTCGGCTGCATATTCATACTGAGAGTCTCCCCTTCCATCACATCCCAGAAGTTTACACCAAATTCTGACCCTCCCAGCTGCATGTCGCAGCAGAAATAGCGATTCGTCAACAGGTCAGGCGAAGTTTTTCCAGTTTTGAACTGTCCAGTTTGGGTGAGCCTGTACCCACTTTAGCCTCAGTTGCCTGTTCTTAGCCGACAGAAGTACAACCTGGTGTGGCCTGCTGCTGCTGTAGACAATCTACTTCAAGGTTCGACGTATTGTGCGCTCAGATATTCTCTTCTGCGTACCACTATTGTAACTCGTGGTTTTTTGAATTACTGTCACCTGTCAGCTTGAACTAGTCTGCTCGTTTTCCTCTGACCTCTCTCATTAACAAGGTGTTTCCACTCACAGAACTGCAACTAACTGGATGTTTTATATTTATCACTCCATTACCTGTAAACTCTAGAGACTTGTGTGTGTGAAAATTTCAGATAAACAGTTTGAGATTCTCAAACCACCCCATCTGGCACCAACAATCATTCCACGATCAAAGTCACTTACATTACATTTCTTCCCCATTCTGATGTTTGGTCAGAACAACTGAGCCTTTTGACCATGTGTTCACGTTTTTAGGCATTGGGGTGTTGCCACTTGATTAGAAGATTATAAATTTGCAATAACGACGAAGGATACAGGTGTATGTAATAAAGTGGCCACTGGGTGTATGTTTAAAATGATAAAAGCACACGTGCGCACACAGAGGAAAACAGAGGGGGGAGGAGGAGTGCCACTGCTCCTCAAAAAAACTATGGAGTTTTGGCAGTTGGAAGGAGTGGACGGAAAGGGAAAGGAGCATGGGACTATATTGTAGGAACGCCTGCAGACTGAGAGTCCACTGAAGAGCAGGAGACAAGACAAGGAATACTAGAGCAATGGTTGATACACTAGCTGAGGTTGCCAGAAGGGGCCCACTGGGCAGGGCAAAATTTACTATTGTAGTTGATTACAATCACAAAGGACATTGACTGGGAAAACCTGGCCACACGGGGGATCAGAAAACGTGGACGAACGAGATGATGGCGGTGTTAATGGAAGACCTCAGCTCAACACGTTAGGGACACTATCAGAGGAGAGAATAGAGAGAGAGAGGAGAGAGGAGGAGAGAGAGAGGGGAGAGAGAGAGAGAGTGAGACGGAGAGAGGGAGACGGAGAAGAGAGAGAGAGAGAGGATGAGGAGAAGAGAGAGAGAGAGAGAGGAGGGGGGGAATGAACCATCAAGGACTGACTTTATATTCACCTCGGAGCTAGTGATCACGTGGTCCTGAGCTTAGGAATATATTGTAGAGCTAAACGTAGAGAGAAGAAGCTAGCATGAGTAGGCGGTGAAGCAAAAACTACAGAAGAGAGGGCTACACACATGTTTGAGAATTTCTTACATGAGGATTAACATTTGGGGAAAGAGAATGGTGGGAAAAGAGTGAAATGAAATGATGGGAAATACATGACCACAAATGCAAAGGAGGAGGAGGAGAGGCTGTACCTATGGACAACAGAATGTAATGGAGAAGACCCGAAAACCCCTTGGTCACCAAAGGTGTAGAGAGGCCAAAATCTAAAAGTACACTAGAGAATGGAAAAAGTATAGGAGATAGCCGAAGAACCAGAAACGACATATGCATGGATAATACCGGAATAACATAGCATTCGAAAGCCAAATCCAATCCAAAGCTGTTGTACAGCCACATCAGGAGGAAAACAACAGTCAATGACCAGGTACATCTGGCTGAGGAAGGAAGGAGAGGAGATACAAAGGGAAACGTCAAATGTGTGTGAAGAGACTAAACACGAAAATATTTACAGTGGGAGACAGATTATTGAATTTCAGTAAACTAGAATGAAAAGGGTACACCAACAGATGCTGGACATAATACACACAAAACGAGGGGAAGTAAAGAGGCTGTTGAGTGAACTAGAAACCTCATAAGTAGTGGAACCGGGACAATATCTTCTCGTTGATTTCTGAGTGAGGGGGAAAAGCAGAAGGCTGGTGTCACTAACGATAGTCTTAACACACATGCGAAGGGCAACTGCCCGTAAATGTTAGAGACAACAAATGTAGTTACAGTCTTTAAGAAAGGTAGGACAGGCACGAAACTTTAAACTACCAGACCAGTGGTCCTGGACATGTATAGTATGCAAAGTCATGGAGTTTTAATACGGGATTATTTGGTGTTCTGGTAGCGGGGAGTAAATGATACAGTCTTCGGAGGCTTCTTACTTTATTAAGTCATGGTGGGTACACAGGCTTGTGTGTTTGTGCCCATGGCCCGGGCCAGGGCCATCCCACGAGAGAGAGCTGGAGAGTACTTGTGTCTTCCTGCTAGGCCCGCTGTGTGAGTTGAGGGGAGATCCGAGGAAAAGTCTGGGCTACTGAAGTGGCAAGGCCTATAGGTGGCAGCACCAGCCATGGGCGCGAAGTATGAACTAGCTGGCAGAGGGACAGCATGGGGCTGTCTGTGGCAGGACAGTGCAGGCAGTCTACATACGCTCTGCCACCTACCGCGCGTCGTCCCGACGCGACAATATGGTTGGTAAAAGGAACTCGGTTCTCTCTCTGTAGGAACAGGGCACAGAACACAAAATAAAAACATATATATACATCGGACATGGAAAAAAAAAACTTCTTCAGGAAGGGAAGAAAAAAAGATGTGGGGTGTTGCTAAACATCGTGGTCAAAGGCAGTGAGCGTTTCGAAGGGCATTCACTGCACGCCTTCCTGGTCTGGACAGATACTGCAACACAGGAGACATCACTCGCGGCTGATCTGTGATCGTAACAGGTTACGGTCTACTCTGGAACGGTGAAGCAATCATAGGAGTAGCTGCCAGGTTTTCACTTCAAAATGGGGCACATGCTGGGCCCTCGAGTGAGGACGTCGACCAAAACTCGGCAACTGGGGCAGGACTTCTGGCAAGCGACTCAGGATGGACCTTCTCGACTTGTACTGTCGCTGGGCTGTCAATGGCCGGCGAGCGTGGAAGCGAGTTGTGGAGCGAGTCATGGCAGAGACGACTGGGGGCGAAACATTGGGAGTCGTAACATCATACACCAGACTGCAGTGAGAGAGCTAGCAGTCAAAGTGACAATCATCCTTTGGTGCAGGCCTGGCTCACTGAAGCTTGTGCACGAGGCTGACAAAGCGCTTGCCGAAGGGCTAACTTGCGGCTTGGCAAGTATTCCATTCTTCGGCAGTTGGAGTTATAGCAGAGGTTAGTCTAAGCGTCCCCAGGAACTTGTTCTCTACATATAACTGCACTCTGACGGTTCTGAGGTGAAGTGAAAAACAAATCTAGATGGGAATCGTAGCAGGTACGATTCTGCAGAACATCAGAGCGACGAGCATAAAAGCTTTCTGTACAAGAGGGCTCGGTCACTCGGGGCTTGGTCTGTTAGTGTTCAAACACACTGGTCACACGGGTGACTTAACGCAGTGGTGCTACTCAGGTCTGACTCAGACCTCAATGGACACACGGGAAACTTTAACTAGCAAATGATCTTTTCTGTGCACAAAGCTGACACTAAAGAATATACTAAAAAGTGAGAACACTGACTGAGAGGAATTAACACCAGGACATATATCTTCTCTTAGTCTTTCGACAATATTTTTTAAATAATTACTGAAACACTCGATGGTGACATCATGTGATGTCAGGCCGTGATGGGTGTCAGCAGCACTGTGGACGTCAGCAGACCATCTCGAGGTGACGTCAGGCGACATCGTGAGGTGACGTCAGCAAGACATCGTGGACGTCATGAAGTCGGCCAGCATCGTGGGGGTTGACGTCGATGTGATGCGGGCAGCAGACCACAGCATGAGGTCTGGGGACAATCTGGTAACTCACGTGATCTTGTAGATACACGTGGACATCGCCCACAACCCATGTGGGCGTCGTGATCTACGTGGCATGCTGATCCATGTAGCTTTCGAGTGCCTGGGGGGGGGCCCCCCCGGATACACACGCACTGGCGCGAGTTCACACGAAAAATAGCAGAAATCACAGCAGGGGAAGGTGAGGCAGTGTGGTGTATGGTAGACGGTGTGGAGCGTGAGTAGGGCGAGATGGGCAGGTGAGGGAACAGCCATTCTCTCCTCCCCCACCACAAACGCGTGGAGAAGATCACACTGTACGCAGAAATCACCACCAAAGCTCACCTCTGGCTTGCTGAAACGCTGTGCTGAGCTTGAACAACTACAGCAGCAAACATACAAGTGAGCTGAAACATGATGACTTGAGAAACAGCGTGGGACGCTTTGTAAGCGTGGGGTAATTACAATTCTCGAAGAAATTCGGTTAAATTTCGTCTGGATCTAGTTTGTACCTGTGTCCTGGATGCTAAACGTGCAGACACGACATCAGGATAACTCGTTGAGAGGACGGATGCTTCTTGTGTAGGGTGATGAAGTGGAGCCTGACTTCATACCTCTCCTTCCTCTCTCGGGGCAAACCAACTGCTGCGACCACGCTGCTACCATTTTTAAAAGGGGGATTATTTGGTAGTATGGTTAGGCGGGTGGTTAATGATACACTTCTTCGGAGGTTCTTACTTTATTTAAATTGTCATGGTGGGTACACAGGCTTGTGTGTACGTGTTTGTTCGACCATGGCCCGGGCAGGGCCCCATCCCACGAGAAGAGAGCTGGGAGTACTTGTGTCTTCCTGCTAGGCTGTCTGTGTGGTTGAGAGGAGCAAAGGTTGGGCATACTGAAAGTAGGCAAGGCCTATAGGTGGGCAGGCACCAGCATGGCGCGAAATACATGAACTAGCTGGCAGACAGCATGGGCTGTCTGTGCAGGCAGTATACATGGAGAAGCTTATCTGAAATAGAACTGGTGGAGTTTCTAGAATAAGAATGAGCTAATTACACGATAACAGCTCGTTTCAGGAGGGGAAATCCTGTGTCACAAATCTACTGGAGGTTTTACGACAAAGTTGACAGGGGAGGTAAGTGAGGAGGGATGAAAGAGAGGGTGGGAAGATTACATTTTCTAGAACTGTAGAAGGCTGTCGACACAGTTCCGGACAAAAATTAGTGCAAAAAGCTAGAAGAGCAGGCAGGAATAACAGGAAAGGGACTGCAATGGATCAGAGAATACTGAAGGGGAATGAAAACAATGAGTTTTGGTACTGGCGGGTGTCAGAGTGGGCACTACCTGTGACGAGATGCATTCACAAGGGTCCAGTCCTAGGGCCGGTTGCAGTTTCTGGTATATGTGAATGACAGGGGACGGAAGGGATAAGATTCAGAAGTGTCCTGTTTGAGACGACGTGAAGCTAAGCGGAGAATTCAAGTGGATGAGGATCAGGTAGAAAACTCAAAGAATCTAGACAGGCTGCAAACCTGGTCCAAAAAACTGGCTCTGAGAGTTTAAACCCACCAAGTGTAAAGGTCTGAAGATTGGGTTAGGGTCAAAGAAAAACCCAGGACAGTGTACAGGTTAGGGGGCCAGAGACTGAAAAACCTCACTCAAGGAAAAGGACCTTGGGGTGAGGAAAATACCAATCAAGTCTGAGGGACCATCAACCAAATAACTGCTGCAGCATATGGGCTCTAGCAAGCCTAGAATAGCATTTCGAAACCTTAGTAAGGAATCATTCACAATGATCTACACTGTGTATGTCAGGACAGTATTGGTATATGCAGCACCAGTATGGAACCCACCTGGTCAAGTACATCAAGAAATTAGAGAAAATGCAAAGGTTTGCAACAAGACTAGTCCCAGAGCTAAGGGGTATGTCCTACGAGGAGAGGTTAAGGGAAATCGACCTGGCGACGCTGGAGGACAGGAGAGAGAGGGGGGACATAATAACGACATATAAAATACTGAGAGGAATTGACAAGATGGATAGGGACAGGATGTTTCAGAGATGGGACACAGCAACAAGGGATCACAATTGGAAGTTGAAGACTCAGACGAGTCACAGGGATGTTAAGAAGTATTTCTTCAGCCATAGGGTTGTCAGAAAGTGGAACACTTTGGAGAGTGATGTAGTGGAGGCAGGATCCCTGCCCAGCTTTAAGAAGAGATACGATATAGCTCATAGAGCAACGAGAGAGTGGACCTAGTAGCGACCAGCGAAGAGGCGGGGCTAGGAGCTGTGACTCGTCCCCTAGAACAACAAATAGGTAAGTACACACACACACACACACACACACACACACACACACCACACACACACACACACACACACACACACACACACACACACACACACACACACGTCCAGAAACTTATTAACCACCTCTCGTGCGGGTTAATGGAAATACTCAGAAACAACGACCTCAGGGAACTCTCAGAGCAGTTCTCTCGGGAATTTTTAACGAAGACTCTCTGAGGATAAGTTTACGAGGAACTCTCACAGGGTAATTTTGTGAGGAACTCTCACAGGTAACTGTGAGGAACTCTCACAGGGTAACTTTGTGAGGAACTCTCACAGGGTAACTTTGTGAGGAACTCTCACAGGGTAACTGTGAGGAACTCTCACAGGGTAACTTTGTGAGGAACTCTCACAGGGTAACTTTGTGAGGAACTCTCACAAGGGTAACCGAGAGGAACTCTCACAGGGTAACTGAGAGGAACTCTCACAGGATAACTTTTGAGAGGAACTCTCACAGGATAACTTTATGAGGAACTCTCACAGGGTAACTCTTAAGTATGTCTCAGTGAGAGCTGTTAGTGGTAATGAGGCAACTTTCTCAACAAATTTCCTGAAACATCATTCAGTGGGGACAACTAGCAGACGGAGGATAGAGCCTGCACCAGACCTCGGTCTTAACAACTCATACGGTTTTACTCCTTTATAAAATACTGGTTTATAAAAGACTGGCTTATAAATACTTGCAACGTACCCATTTACTAGTTTCCTACTTAATAGTA